GACAGAGAGAGAAGCCTTCTTCCCCCTCCTCCTCTTCTCCTGCACCTGGGGTCATGCTGTGACCTTTTCGAAGATGGGATGTAAAAGTGACCTTTGTCAGAGTGTCACAGAGCACCCAGCCCAGGTTTCAGCGAGGAGACGTGGGAGGCCTACAGGCAGTGCTCCTTCTGCGGGCAGAGGTCCTGACCTGCAGCAGCGCGCTCGCGGAGATGTCAGGGGCAGGCTCCCCATCCCCAGTTCCTCCACACAAGGAAACAATAAGAAGACAGGCTAACAGACAAAGAGCCTGGTCTTAAAACTTTCTCATCCTACCTGTAAGTGGTATTGGTTGGGAGCTTCTTTCTTTCCCCCTCTCTGTCTTCCCTGAGTCTTAAAATAATCTTAAAAAAATGCCACAACTCTTATATGCTTGAGTTGCCTTCAAGGAGCCACAGACACACCTGCAGTACTTTCCAAGACAAGACAGAGGGGAATGGGGCCAGAGCTTCCTTACTGCTTCACTTCCACTGCTTTATAAAACCACAACTCAGCATCCCTAACTGGACGCGTTGATGAGGCAATCAACTAAGGAATGGCTTCACAGGCAGCCTTCCCTGGCTTTGTTCTGAGTGTGCACATTCCTAATCACTCTGTGCCCATAAGCCATACGAGGGTAAAATTCATATAATTTCCACAATCACTTGCATAGTTGCTTGAGAGAGAAAGAATCCAGCACCAGGACAGACACCAGCTTGCTGTAAGGGAGTCAGTTGTGTGCAGCAAACCAAGCAAACGCTGGAGGACACAAAGAGAAAACACACTAGGAGCTGTCTGACACTGGGTCAGCCCCACACAGAACCCAAGAGCTCTGCTGCCACTCACAAAGACAGGCACTTCCTCCTTGCCTCCCCTAGCCCTGTCTTTTGGCTAACACACAGCAGATCTTCTGAATAAACACATCTCTGTTGGATGTGCAGTTCAGGTGCTGGCTGCTCCAGCTGCGAAGCCCCCATCTCCCTGCTATGTCCTGGAGGCACGAGAGGGCAGAGGAAGCAGGGCAATCTCCAACCTCCATCTCCTGCTGCCCCACGACCTCTGGGCTGCCACTGTTGACCCTGCTGGGGTTGCAGGGGGTGGACTAATTTGGACACGTTCAGGCAGTTGCTGTCATCAGCTTCCTGCTTTGTTGATCAGGGAGGTTTTTGCTGTAGGCGGGAGTCAATTATTTGGCAATCTCAGGATGATCGGAAGAGACTATTAGTGTTTGACATTTTAAAGGGAAATGGAAAACAGCCCACCTCTCCCTTTCTGCCAGCTAAACCAACCACTTCATATTAAACTTTGCATAGCTTCTTCCGCATACAAATTAGCTCAACAACTGCTGTTCTTCTACTATGTCAATGGGCCACAAAAAAAAAAAAGAAGCTTGACCATGACTCCTAACCTGCCAGCACAGAACACGGCCATCTGGACTGCAACGGCATCTCAATAAGCCTACATGCAGCAAAAATCCCCTCACGGAAGACATAAAAAAGCAGGTTGAGCCGGGGATTCATGTCTGGAAGTATCCACAAAATTGTCCAAATAAACCAAAACTGAAATGCATGCATGGATGAACTGTGTTTGAAGCTTAAAAATCATATTCCAGAGAAAGATCTGGGCTAAGTGAAAGGTGGTAAATTTAAGAGCTGTTCAATAAACCTTTTTTATTCCTGAGAACAGACTCTGACTTTTAAAAGACTTTTCCAAAGCTTTATCCTAGGCTTCCTTATGTGAGGAGTGGGCTGTCCACTCCTCCTCAAGATCTCTCTCCAGAGATTTGTTAAACATTTGTGCAGAAGAAACGACTTATCTTGAAAGTGTAAAACGGGGAGTATGACAGTCCATTTGGTAAGATAAGCAGTCAGGAGTCATAAACCAGCAGCTTTAGTTCCAACTGCAGTTAAGTAGCCCTTGAGAAAGAAAAAATATAGTGGGGCTCTTGGAAAACAATTTTCTCAGAAAAAAAAGTGTTGTCTCCTGCCTGACAGGTCAGGATTTACAGCTTGGGTGTATATCTCTGTCCTTCCTAACAGCAGAGTATGTAGCACGTTTAGGTTACCAGTACTGTTTTGCAGGCATATGCAGAAATCCCAGTCAGAACCAACCCCTCGTTGCACCTCATGCTATACAAATACACGGAAAACCTTTGATTTTCTTTTTTAATACTATGGGTTAAGATTTGAACAGCTGATTTGCTATTTCCAAAGCCTTAGCTATATTTACACCATTAAACTCACAGAAAATCACTGAGTATTGTGACCTGCTCATACCATACCCCAAAAGGAAAGCTGAAGGTGAAGGCCATGCTTCCCCATAAGAACTGATGCAGGAAAGCGACTGCTCCAAAGCTTACGCAAGCCAGTTCAGCAAGAAAAGGCCTGGAATGACTTACATTCTGTAAAACAGAGAGGAAGAAGACTTTCGAGTTTCAGTAAGTCCAGGTCCTCTGCCGTTACAAGTGCCAACAGTCACCTTAGATAAAGCCCTTTACGCTCTGGAAGAATAACCCATGATGGAGTCTTAACAAGGAGCCTGCTGGTGGCGGCTTGTTCTCCCCCCGGCTCTCTATTACTACCAGTATCCAGTTGGACCAAGCTCCCCTGGGACTGTCCAGGATTTTTCTGTATGCAGACAGCTCTGATGTGGCAGCAGGGCAGACTCTAAGCGGTAGTGTGATTTAATAAACAGACACTTAAGGCAGTTTACGCTGGAGTCAGCCCACTTCGGATGGCCTTCTCTGCTAATTTAACACGGGTTGCAGCCCCCAAGCTGGCGTCTCCCTGCTCATTAGGGAAAAGGGGTGCGTATGCGTGTGTGTGGGGGAGGAATTCTTGTTTCACATTGGTGCTCGAGAGACTTTATTATACAGGGCAGCTCATTTCACTCACTACACTGCAGAGGATTTTTCAACAGAGAGGGGGAGGCAGGGCATGCTAGTTAGGATCCTTCCCTGTTATTTTCATTAATTTTCCTCTTTTTTGTTTTGGTTAGGGGGGATGTGACAAAAAGGGACAATAATTGCCATTTGCCGCAGACTTCGAGGAGTCCTCCTCAGCCATTACAGATTAAATTGCATTCTGTACAAGTGTCCATCAGGCCCCAGCTCCAGACTCCAGGCTGGTTAGAGGGCAGCTGATTCAGCTGCAAGAACATTTTGCTCCACTTCTGATCTGTCCTAATTATAAAAAGGATGCTCTTTCCTTTAACCCCTAGAGTTCTCTCTTTCCTATTCTCATGGTTCAGTCCTTCAGCCAAGTATTCAGCTGGTTTACATGAGTTTTACATGGACTTTCAGCAGCAGAGAAGCTACATAGATCCATACTGCCTGACCATCTCTTTTTTAATTTGTATCCCTCCAACCAACAAAGGATTACAGATTTCAAATAGAGGATGGTAAAACCAGGACACATTAAGGATCCAAAGTATCCACCTGAACAGAATTTAGATTTTGTAAAATCAAATTTAAAACTACAGAAAATACCCACCACTTTCAGTCCAAAGCATAGGTAACTTGAATACACACGGCTGAGCTAGTTTTAAGGTAACAAGCACCAGTACATTTAGCAGTACAGCAATAGGAAAAGTAGAGTCTGTAACACTTTGTTTGAGAAGATAAGCTCATGGGCCCACATGGAGCTTATTATGGTTCTGGCAGTGCAGCCAGCTAGTTAACAGATGTCTCAGCAGAGCTACACAAGCTGTACTGACAGCACTGCAATGTCGATACAGAATAAACATCTGGACTGCAACCAGGAAGCGGTAGGTTGTCATTTTCCCTTCAGCTGGTAAACAGTTCCATTTTAAAAGCTCTTACGGTGGATCTTTCTACATCTTTGGTTACAAAGTGGTGTAACAGGATGAAAAACAAAGAACACAGGCCTGATACTGATCACCGCAAGCTTTGCCTTGACACCTGACTTCAGCTGATTTACTCCTGACTGAAGCTGGTCTAGATACGAAAAGAATAAGTCCCACCTTTGTTGATCTCGCCCCTTATGCCCCACGCAGCAAAGCTTAACCTGCAGCAAACTCCTCCCCTCCTCCCACCAAGCTTTTGTCTTTTCCCAGTCACAGAAAAGTCTTACCCCTTTTGCAGCCCCTCTCCTGGAAGAGGAGTAGGGTTGATACTCTGCATAGTTCTGGAAATTGGCATTGTGTTACCACTGCCCCGGAGTGTCATGGGCAGTTGTGAGCCCACAGCACCACAAACAGGACAAGTCTGTGGCTTAGCACCACGCTTCGGAAAATGGCACTTTCATAGGTTCACAGATTTAACACGAGAATGTACCAATACTGCCATATGGACTGAACTCCTGCAAAACAGACTATTCACAGCTCCTGCAGGGAAAGGAATTATCCTTCCCCACTACACAGACTCAACATTACTAACAGCAATATCTCATGGTTGAAATGCAGAATAGTTTAAGACAGACATGCATTCTCAGTTTGTACGCTCCATGTGATGATGAATCAAACCACATCCTATGGCAGTCTGTTCCAACAGCAGCTTACCCAGCCAAACTGCATTTTGCTTTTCTATTTCCAATATCTCTTTGTCCTGAATACAAGAAAGTGCATTGTTTAGAAACATCTTGCTTTGGGGATACAGACAAAATCAACTGTCCCTGACAGTTAAATGTTGGCTGATAGCGTCTAAATGATTTTTTTCTTCCTTTTAGATGCTCTCCTCTTTGTGTTAATGCCTTTGCTCTTTACCAAAATCCCATTAAATATTCTACCCATTTTGTTTTGTTAAGTTTGTTTGTGTGTTTGTTTGTTTATTTGCTTGTTTTCCGATTATTTCCTGTAGAATATTTCTTAGAATAAACAGCTGCCTAGCTATTGGTATTAATCAAATGGATTAATGGAAAATGAAAAAGAGAAAAGGGAAAAATCATATGGGAAGAGATAAAAAAAAAAAAAAAAAAAAAAAAGAGAGAGAGAGAGAAAAGCAAGCACAATACCTGTCTTCTCCAGCTAGTACTGGACAGCTCCCTCCAACCAGACTTTCATCCTCAATGTGTAGTGGCACTGGGAGCCTTTTAATACCCTTCTGATATAAGATATAAAATTAGCTGTCACCAAACCCATTAGTCAGCTATTAACAATGACTGTCAGCACAGCTTGGTACACGGAGCAAAAAGCTTGCAGCAAACAAGCTAGAGAAATATTCATTATCAAAAAATTTCTCCTTACCTTCAGTAGGTAGCGGGTGACAGTGTTTGATGTATCCACCAGGTAACTTTTAGAAAAAATCCTTACCACTGCACTTGTGGAATTTTTATTATGCCTACCTTCTAAATAGCTTTTTATGGAGAACAAAAGTTCCCAGTGCTCTTTCTCCACATCATTCACTGCAATGACGAGCATATTTATGTCTTTTGGACTTACCCATCCGCATACAAAGCATGTAACATAGCAGCAGATGTGCTGGTCAGTATCAGGTACGTATCTTACAGTGGATGCCATTGCCCGATCCTTTAACACACATCGGGTGATCTCCATTTTCTTCCAATCGCATCTCTGAAAAATGAAAAATTTGCTACTTTAACGGAAAGAAAGCATGGCATTTCATCAATGGAACCTTAATATACTGACAAATAAAGTCTATACAAGATTGCTGTTTTTCCACTAGTTTTTGTCATATGCAGAGCTAAGGAAGGGGCAGAAATCTGTGCAAATTCCAGCGAAGTATTCCATAGAAGTATGCAGGGAAAGGTTTGGTTTCAAACACAAACTTTTTGGCAGAAAAATAAATGCTAAAATAGCAGAGTTCATGTTTGCCTTCTTTTATAAGACAGACGGCTTACTGAGCTGGTTGAGGGTTTGAAAAATACAGATGAAAAAACAACTAACAAGAAACCTTGTAGTCTTCTAGTCAGATCTTCTATAGCTGAAGTCAAGCAGTAACTGATAGTGTTAAATAAAGACACTAAAAACATCTGTAGTTTTCCCAAGTCTTGAAGATCATTTCTTTTTAAAAGGCATTTAATCTTCTCTAGATGTAAACAAGGGTTGGCAAAATAAGTGCTCTGGAAAGCTTCTCCACACATAAGTCTTCTCCTACTCATGTAAGTAGTATTTACTAACTGTAGTAACTTACTAACCTTAAGTTAAAGCAGAATAAACTTGCAGATCCAAATACACACAATTACTTCTTTGTGAAAAGGAAAGAAAGATAATTATATCAATGCAAGCTTATGTTCAAATTAGATGTTGCACTTCAGTAAATAACAATGTAAAAAAATCACATGCCTAAAAAAATATTTATAATGGCATAAATTTTATGAGTGAATGAAGCTGTAGGGATCAAACGCATGATCAATGATCAAATGTAAACAATGGACTAAATTTTACCAAGTTAGTCAGCTGAGCTACTGCAATTGGTCACATACATCTTCAGTTAACCCTAATTTTGAAAAATAGGGAGTTGAAATCAATAATTACTTAATGAGCAAATACTTAATTGCTCGTTTATTATTATTATTTTACATATTGCTGCTAGTGCCAGGAGGTTGGGGAATGAAGAGGTAGAGGGAAGTTTATCATAGTAAGTGTGAGAGAGAGACACGCTTGTTTAGGGAGCTTAAGAGGTGAGAGAAATACTAAAGACTACTAGAGGGGATGTGAACTGACTGAAATTTGCCACCTGAAATCTAATTTTAAAAGGTGAAGATGGTATGAGGAAAGCAATAACACCAACAAAAATTAATTACACTGCAGAACCACCTCAGAATCTGTCACTGACCATCACCCTACTCTGCCAAGAGCTGAGAAAGAGGGTGCCCCGCAGGAAGACAGTAACAGCAATGTGAAGGTCTCCACCTCAGTGAGTTGAAGAAAATAGTTTGACCAAAAAAACAAATGTAATTTATTCTCTCAAGCACTGCCACCACTTACCAACTGCATTCTACAGATTCATATCCTGGCTTAAGGGAAATTACTTTTCCTTAGTTTACCCTGCAAGCATGTTGGAAAGATAAATACCTGTCCTGTCTGGAGAGAAAGACCCCAGTTTAAGAAAAGGAAATAAAGGCCAAGCTTTCAGCCATTTTGTGCTGCAGTTTCCAATGCCCTAGCACCGAGCTGATCGTGTCAGTATCTCAAGGTCCCCAGAGACGGTAATCTTATGTGTTCAGAGAGGCTTTAGTTCATGCAAGGTCAGAGTAATTGTGCATGATTAATGGTTTATCTCTTCCTGAAAGCCTTACACAAAGGCTCCAAACCAAGTTAGCCGTAATTCCATACTCCTTACAGTCTGCTTAAAGGGGCAGCATCCTATTTCCTCTTGGTGGGGCCAAGCCTGTTGACTTTATCAGAATTGGAAGCAGGCCACAAAGCCTTTGAAAGAAGTCTCTCTCCCCCATTCAGCTCCCTAGGTAACGTGAATACATTGTGAAAGAAAAAAAAGAGCCCAAGTTCAGTCTAAAACACCCCCAAAGTCTTAAAAAAAAAGACTGCTCTGTGACAGTCCCCAAACCTTTTGCTACAGGATTCTTTGGTTTTCTACAGAATTGCTCCTTAGCATATTGCCAGAGCAGGGCACATTAGAACCACCTTAGAATCCCATTTTTAGTCTGCAGCCCTATTTTGTTAAGAAAAGGATCATTTTTAATCAATTACAGCTTTGTGACCGTGGGCAGCCACATAAGCTGATTAAATTATTATTTGCAGATAGTGCTCACAGATAATTCCTTAGGGATAGCTGCAAATTTAGCCTTTTTTTTTTTTTTATTTGTTTCACAAAGCATTAACAAAGCTCAATTGCTTTGAATGTGCGCCGTCTTTTGCTGGAGATTTTAACTGGCTGTTTTCAGACTATGGAGCATTTGTGAACTGTTCGGTTCAGCTATTTAGTTATACACAGTGTGTAATTGGGCACATAAGTCATATGCTGTTGTTTCTGCTCTCTGAGTGGATGTCCAAAGCCCTTTACAGAAGAGAATAGTGAATAGTTTTGTTCACATACCAAATCTCTGTGCTCTCCTGTGACTAAGACGTTCATATCAAGCACAACATTCCCCGTGGTTTTCTGCGAATGAAACTCCCTGCATGTCAGGTTTGTTCACTGACAGCAGATGACAAGGGATCACAAACATGGCTGAATCAAAGCAGTCGTTTTCAGTCAATTTTTTTTTGGTAGATGTAGTTCTCACAATCCAATCAGATCGAGCTTTGATTTTATTGGGAACTTGAAATATTTTGTGTTTTGTTGGGGGGAGGAAAAAAGGCATACAGTACAGTTAGAAATTTACACACACACAAAAACAAACAAACAAACAAACAAACAAGAGTCTTCTATAGTGGTCACAGAAAATCAGCTAGTTAGCCATCAGAAATGCAATACAGGCACAGTCTGACTGCCACATTCTTAGGAACAGCTTTTGCTTTTAGAAGGTGGAGGAGTTGAACCATGTCAACAGCTATCTTAAATCTCTTCCTACTGAAAAGGGCCAAACTGGCTGAAAACTGCAACCAAAGGTAACTTGGAGGAAAGAGAATCATGACCGCTAGTGCTTTGTGCTCAAAGAAAAGGTAAGATCAGACAATGAAAAGGACACTGGACTACAAAACAGAAGATGGCAGCAAGCTGAGGGGAACTGGTAGATACAGAATCTCTCAGAAAAACTTCCAATGGGAAGCAATGCAAAGTAGCACTTAATCGAATAGAGTATACAGTACTAAACTGACAGGAGTGTCAAATGGAATGTATCTGATCTTAATTAACCCCCAAAATAAACAGTAATATAGAAATAGCAATACATGAATAAGGGTTAATATCAAAAAAGAACATGTGAGGAAGAAAAAAAATAGAGAAATAATTTCAAAACTAATGATATATACCAAACATGACGAGATGTAAGCAAAAAATAATGAAGTCATCAATGACTTTTTTGCTTCAAAATTCACAGAAATAGATTAATAGTGACTCACAGCAGATTTTCCTATCAAGGAAAGAGAGACAGTCAAGAACAAAGACAGGGCAGGTGAAATAATACTTTTGTCAGTACAGCCCAATTTGGGATCTGTTTGCCAAATCATGTCTTCTCCCAGAGAGAAAGGGAAACATCCTGAACTATCCAAGCTTTCAAATTGCTTCTGTGCTTCCACAAGGCTTGGATCACCGCTTACATGAACAACCAGGTACAGGGGGGGCAGCAGACCTCCCTCTGTAAAAGTGGGGACTGGGATGGAATTCCGAAGCAGTGCTTAGACCCCATGGATGCCACATTCAGGTTGCGCTGAGCTACCTAAACTGAATACAGCCAAGTATTCAGGGCTTGATGAAATCTATCCTAAAGCAGTCCAAGAAGTACCTGAAGCAGTTAATCTGTGAGTAATTAGCACTACTCTTGGTGTGATTTTGAAGAATAAGGGAGGTTCTGTAGAAACTGTGGGCAAACAAAGAACTTCTCTTCAGAAGAAGAACGTAATTAACTGCACTGTCTAGAAAGACACAAGAAAAATTTTAAATAATCAGTTTAGAAGTAACTGGAAGGTAATATGATGATGAAAAATGGTCAATACGAAATGGTCTGGAATAAATTATGTTCCACCTATCATGTTCTATTGAATGGGGCAACAGTTGCAGCAATTATGGGGGAAAGCATTAGAGATGATTTACTTTGAAAAGTAAAGTAAAAATACAATGCTTTTAATCCCTGCCCACCCCATGTTTTCAAAGCATACAAGGGAAAGCAAACATAGCTTAAAACCACTAAAATTTGGGGGTAAAACTGTCTAGAAAATCCTCTTAAATTACCGGTAATTTGCTGTCAAATTGACAGGACACTTCACCTGGAGTTCTACAGGGGACCATATTATCTCCACTTTTATTAGCATAGTCAAGAGCATAGATAGGTCCTCACAGGTATGCAGCAGCCATGTTTGAAGGTATCATAACAAGTCAACAATCTCCATAAATTGGAAAAAAAAAAAAAGAATGGATTGTATCAAGATGGAACAAAATAAAAACAAGTACAAAACGTTATATCCATCAGAAACAAACCCAAACAGATATGGACAAGTGGCAATATACAGAAAAGGATCTTTGACCTTCTAAGTAAAGGCAAACTTAATTTTGATCAACAAATTGATGTCACCAAAAAAGAGAAGTGAGAGAGAGGAGAAAGACATCTCCTCCCAGAACATACTGACAGGTGAGACTTAGAAAGTATTTTTCCTGTTTGTGCTGGACATGGATCAAATTAAGCCAAGACATCCAGGTATGGCCACCTCACTGCAAGACAGATATAGATAAATGAGACTATCAAGACCAATAGGAAGATTCAAAAGCATCACTGAAAGGAAATGACTGATGGAACTGGACATGTGCTTTCCATCCAAAAGAGAGTGGGACATGATTATTCTTTTGCATTATGTATGTAAGTGGTGACTATGAAAAAGATGGTCATTGTTTTTTTCTGTGGCCACTTGGGGCTAGAACAAGATGTAATCGGTGTAGCATAGCTGACAGCAATAATACTTGGGTTTGATATTAACATGACTTTCATGAATTCTTAAAATAAAAATAATAGTTCAACAATGCAACAAACCAGCTACATAGGAAGGAAAGAGAATTCATTTCAAAGAAGGATTTCAGACAGGTTTTCCTCAGGGATACTCTGAGTACGCATTTACAGACGTGAGCAAGCGCATCCTCAAGCTACTGGACGTAAGTGTGTTATGGAAATTTCTACCCACCTGAAAATGGCTGCCCAGCTCTGAGAAGGACCAGCTCAGTATCTCAGGACACAGGCTTGCAGTTAAATAAACAGCTTGTGATACAAGATGCTAATCACCCAGACCTTGCTCATAACTGCATCAAGTTACTATCTGCAGGTTGAAAAGCCTTTTAGATGAAAGACGCAAGAATAATGAAGAACATCCTGACTGCTACTGCTGATAGCAGCAGGAGAGCTCTACCTGGGTAAACCCAGACTCCTGGTGAGACAGCAGGTAAGTTCTGTACTTGGACTGGCCTGAAATAAAACACTGATAAGCCCAGAAAGCTCAGCAGCAGGCAAGCATTCAAGATTTTGATCCGATTAGCAAGATGTAGATTTGTGAGATTCACCAGGAATAGAGAATCGGGAATCTTGAATCAGCTTTCAAGTCCCCCATCAAAGTGCCTTGCACGTTTTGGATCTGACAGCGCCGGACCCAACAGCGCCATACAAGGTCACAGTGCAGCATTTTCTCTAAACATAGTGTTATATCTCAATGTCATAAGGCAGCACTGTCTGGTATGTGGTCAAACCCACAACAAATGGTGACCTGCCATGTCAAATTTCCCTGGTTCGATGGTTATAAAGTTAGCATGTGATGCAGAACAGATTCAAAGAAGAAAAGAATTGCTTGCATCTTCAGTACACATTTTCTGAAGCAGACCTAAAGTCACATCAGCTGGCTACCTTCTATTCTTTGTAACAGGCTTCTGTCCTGTTTTCCTCAGACTATCCCTGCACTGTTCTGAACACTCCCTGTAGCAGCAGGCAACAACCCTGGCTTGGGATGCAATGTCCTTTCCAATATGGTAGCAATATATCTTTCCAAGCCTTTTTTTTTTTTTTTTTTAAACTGTGTTACAGTTACCAACTATTTGAACAATCTACCTCACAGTTGCCATGGAGCCTGGGCCTCAATTTCTTTTTCCTCTTGTCTCTTTGGGCTAAAGTAGATTTTTATGCCAGATTAACCAAAGTGCTACTCTTCTTTGATCTGCAGTTCAGGCCACAGTTCTGACTGGAGAAGGGAAAAATAATTCACCAGGGTGCTCCTAACGTAAGAGCAGCCAAAAATGCTTGGGTTTCCAAGCTTTCCCGTTTCCTTTTCAAAAGGGACATCAAGAAAAGAGTAACAAGTTAAATATGTTGAAAGTGTTTTGCTCTTCATTTCTTACTCATACTTTCTCTACAAATACAACTTGAAGAAATACCAACACTAGGAAAGCCTAAGGGTGCACCACCAGAAAAGCTAAAAGTGGTTTTAAATTATTAAATAACCAAAGCATCCTACCCCTCAATTTCCCTTTTTTACTTGGTCCTTCCCTGCCACCATTTGGGTAGGTAGCCCTTCACAGACCACTGCCATGCAGAACTAGCATGACCCACACCTTAGCAGGCTGTAAAACGATCAGCTTGTATCATGGACCACAAGCACTTTTGTTGTACAGCTTCTCCAACAATTATCTAGTCCAACAAAGCTCACCTTTGAAATCAGTTGAACTCAAGTAAATTTAATTTTAAAATAAAGTCACTTAAACAGAGACACTAGATTTTGTTTTTTGTTTTTGTTTTTTTACTTTTTATATTTCTGGTATCACATGCCAGAACATCTATAAGGGAAACTCCTAGAAAGTTGAATTCAATCTGGAGCAGGAGATGACATATGACAGAGAACTTACAACATTCCTCAGCGCTTACACTTAGCCTCAAACTTTCATTAATGAGCTAACATTTAATAGTCTGTGTATAATTTTAAAAATTGTAATAGTAGTTACAGCTACCGCTTAAATGAAAACTTTCTAAGTTGAGACCTTAACTGTTGGGCAGAATGATGAAGTCCTTCAGATAACAACAGTAAAATCACTTAAAGACGGTAGATTTAATGCTCTTCTTGCAGTGATCTGTGTTATTCCAACACGATGGTGACATCTGCTTACTCATGACAAAATTAACATTAAATTCTGCATAACTCAGACACACAAACAATACCAGGTGCTTAATTACCACTTAGCCTGGTGTTAATTACATCACATGTGAAACCCTCAACTATGTCTTTCAACAGAAAAGCTGCCAAGAAATGAATCTGCAGTGGCACCAGGGGATTTGGAAACAACTCATTAGCACCCTACAGAAAAAAAAGGATTAAGTTGTGCCCCAAAACATCTAGCTCATGCACTTGCAAAGTCATTCCACTAAATTCTGTGCTTTTTAGAATCATAAGGAAGTGGGACCTTTATAAAGATTGATGGGAAAAGTTGAGAAATGAAAAAACAGCTTTCTTCTGTAGCCCCACAAATCCTTTTCTCCCACTATTTTTCCAGTTTCCCTCTATTTAGAGTTACAGAAGTCCTCCATTTGTTGTCTGGCCTGCCACCAAGCTCAGGCAAAATATATTTCCAATTATCCCAGACCTACCTGCAAAATAGCATGGTTGTTTCTGAACTGGTCCTGAGGTAACCTCAATTTTTCTTTTTCCTCAAATGGACTCCCTCAAATGGACTCTGGAACAAACTGATTTCAACCAGGCAGGTTGTTATTTGGCAAGTAGAAAGTGCAATATATGAACCAATATCAATAATCTACAACTACACATAATCACAAATGTCCAAGTCTGGGACTCCATTCAGGACATCACAAGGTAGATTTTTTTCCTGTTACAATATTCAGCATGCAATTAAGGTAGATTAGTTTGTTCTTTTCCATTAAAAGAAGCATCCTTGACAAAACAAAATTTGACATTTTTTTCTGAGCGATATAGGAAGCTGTTGGATTCATCATACAATTTAGGTCTACAGACAATGATATAGAGAGCAATAGACAATGCCAATAGATTTTTTTTTTGCCCCACTGCTGTATGCACTTTGCTAAGAAGAACTCACTAAACTGAAAACCCACTTCACAGTCTTTGAGCTCAGCTGTACTAAATGCATGCAACCCTGCTTTGGAAGTGGTGTGGTGCTGCAGAATGCTAGAAACAAGCAGGGTGACTGGGCCCAGAGACAGCTCATGTCTTCCCAGAGACTGAGTCCTGTCTGAACTTTGTCATCCGGTCTTCCTATTAAAGGAACATTCCTACTTACCCAAAGAGGGACCTCTGCTGTCTTAGAACATCTTTCTTCCACTAGGTCAGCAGGTGATGAGAATCCTTCTGTGCAGAATTGCTCTCCAAAGCAACTGCATCTATCAAAAGAAAACAAACAAACAAACAAAAACAACCAACACAGTATCTCCTAACCCATGTAAAATCATGGAAAACAAAATCATCTTAAACAGTTGCAGCAGCACCTTCCTGAGTTAGTAGAGGGCTAGAAATAATGGTTCTTCAAGATGTAGTTTTCTCAGGAAGCTTCAGTATTTTACTAAGTAGAAAACACACAGACTTCAAATAAATTATTAACTACTTAACTTCTGATTGCTTCTAGTTACTTCCAACTACTTAACTTCTGATAAGTTCTAGTCTGCATGTACACTCACATCCAAACCATTTCCCTAGGTGTTGCAATCGGATAAGCTAAATGGATTGAGCAAAGTAGTTATTTCCTAGTATCTAAAAATAGGAAATCTTTTCTCCAAGTGCATGGAACATTGACATCACCGCACTAGCCACAGTTTGACAGGGTATGATTTTGATGGGATAGCAAATGCCACACAAATACGTTTTGTGCTTTGCCTTAATATATGGTGCAGAAAGGAACTGGTTAACAAGAACACAGGAAACTCCTTACAAATTGGTAGTGTTGGCAATTTCCTGCAATAATTTAGAAGATTTTCACTTGCTTGGTTGGGTTGGTAACTCATATCCTTAGGTTGAAATTCAAGAACTTCAAGTTTTGACACACAATCCAGTGATTAATAATATAGGCTGTATATACAAGACTGTGAAATATACTGGACCAAATCTATCACGTAGCTACATTATATGTAACAAAAATGCTTTTCAGGCCAATTTTTGATTTCAAGACAATTTCAGAAAGTTCATTATTGGAGAACATGCATAGAAATTTGACTCTATTGATGAAAATGTACCACAACGGTCAGTCAATGAGAGTTACGTCTTTGCACTCTTATGCAAAAAATGAGCTTAGTAAAGACTTCAGCAATTAGGATGGGATCAAAATCACTCAAACGACAGGGGACCTACCATATGATTTTTTTTTTGGAGGAAGAGAGAGCATTCAGGCATATCGCTCCTATCAGCTTTCTAAGGTATTAAGTTATTTATGTCCCACTTGTAAAATTTCCCTGCATAAGGCCAAACCACCTAAGCACTTCTAAAAATTCTAATGCTAGCCCCTAGCATGAGAAGATTTAAGTCCTATAGGTAAGTCTTACACTGTTATCAAGAAGCACACACAGTTTTCAAAAGAACCCCCTACACTGATTGTAGGTTAGTGCTGAGCTTTACTGAAAATTCAGTCTTTTTATTCCATTGCCAAAATGTAAGCTAACATGCTGAAAAACATTTGATGTGCAAACAGCTGAAGATCCTTCTCTGACCTCCTCCAAAATCCATCTATTCCTGACTGAAATCTGAGGGGGTTAAAAAAGACACACTTGGTTTAGTAGATTCTTGTAGGAATCTACTTCTGTCCCCAACCTTTTTTTTTTTTTTAAAAATGAGCACAGCTTCAGCTGATTTTTACGAGAGCTTCTGTGTTTAAAAATAGAATATATGGCTACTGTGTAATACAGATAAGGAAAACAGGAGGAGAAAGAAGCTAAGAAAACACCCTGAAACCTCTGTTGTGAACCAGATGCTTCTACCTCACAGCTTGACATGATCCACATGGTCTGATGTCCAAGGGGCAGTATGTCATGCTTTAGTGTTACATTTTTCTCCCCTGTGGCAGCGAGCTGCATTACAATCTGTAAAGTAGGAAACCCACATATGCCATTATAAATAGCCCTGGAATGCCCTGCAGTGACTGCAGCAGAGCTAGGATTGCACTCTGAGCCCCTCAAGGAAACTTCTGCTGTGGCTTAACTCCAGGGGCATCGCTTATCCTATCAGTCGAATATCTATTAGACAGGTAGATGTGGGCCCTCGCACAAGATGTGACAAGGTGTACAGCAGCGTCAGTGAATACACGTTTGCTGTAATGAGGCTTTAGGGGCCTTCAGTCCCTGAAAGCAGCAGTCATTGTTGTGCATTTAATTTCCCAAAGTCTTTCTTCTACAGAAAATCGTCCTTCTTGTTCAAGGGAAGAAGCAGTAGCTGCGGCCCAGCTCAGACCATCCTGAAAATAAACATAACACAGCTTCTTCCCTGGCCAAGGCAGCGATTCCTCATGTGCTCCCTCACTGGAAGTTCCCCCAGTTCCCATAACGGTCCAGGACATACTTACAGTACCTATCTGGCTCCCTGCAAGATGGCTTAGAGAGAAGCCACCAACGCAGGCCATGGCCACCAGCTACAGGGCACTGCTGAACTCCCCAGCTGCTGCCTTCCCTTGGAGCTGCACAGATTCACACACTCTAACATCCAGTTATGCCTGAAACTTCCTCCAGGTGCACATGGAAATATGACTTGTCCCATTAGGTGCCAGGAGTAAAACAGGAGACTCAATAATTCCCAGCTCATGCTCTCTCCGTCATAAACACTTTCAAAAGTAACGCCACAGCCTGAGGAACCCAGCACGTTCCATCAACTGGGAAGGTCCAATAATACAGGCATCCTGTGGGAGGTCTCGTTTCCCTTTTCCTCAATTTCTCCATTTCAATTTCTAACACACACTGCAGTCACCAGAACGGAACAAAGTTCAATTCTTTCTCTCTGCTGTTTGTGTCAGCGAGCATCTTGTCCTGCAAAATCAGCACAGAAACTCCTCCCAAGTCTTTCCTGGTTTTGTGGGTGACAATGGCTATTCAAAAATGGAAAAACCAAGAACTGGAAAACATTCCCATCATCAAAAAATGGTCTCGTATTGTCACAAAACTGGACCTGAGAGTGACCACAGTTTTTTTCTGAAAGTCCACCTGGCTCTTACTCAGAGCTTGCATTATTTGCTGCCAAAACCTGCGTGGTTTGATGCTCTGCCCTAGTCAAAGACTCACAGAACTTATTCACATGCCAGACTTGTTATGAAACCTCAGGCTGTAGACTTCAGGCAGCCCAGCTTTCATCAGGCTTCTGCTTTACCTGCAATGAAAGAAACGTGCTACACAGAGCCTACCTTCCCTCACAAAGGACAAGGATCAGGCTGTCCCAGGAAAGCAGTATGCCCTAGAGAGCAGTAATTCCTCCTACATGGCATAACATACACATGGGTTCTGCTGTGCCTAGCCCAGTACTTGACTGTCACAGGCAGAAGGGGACTGGGCCAAGCTGCGTCTCATCTCTGGTCTCCTGAAGCAAGAGAAAAGCACAGACCCCTCCAATCACCCAGGACTGAACCAATCCCTCCCCGCTGCGTGAACACACAAGCTGAGATGACTCCTTGCCTTTTCTCCCCAGGAACAGCCAGACACTGCCTACCTCGGGCAGATTTGCATTCTCCTACATTTAACTTCTTAAACCCCCTTACGTGTTCGTGTTCAGGACCGGAGCTGTGGCCAGCCCCCAGACAGGAGCCTATTGACACCCGTACCTGGGCAGTCACCCTGCAGCGGCACAGTGCTCGTGCCTCCGCGCGGTATTCAAGTGCCGCAGCCAGCTAATTCTTTACAGCTTGCACTTTTTAGCCCTCGTTATGGCAGACAGTTGGGCGCCCCTGTACAGTTAAAGATCACAGGCCTTGATAACCTGGCTCTTTGATTTATGACAGCCCAGACCTCAGTGATCACCTAATGAGGGGAACCTGGAGTGTCAACCTGTTTATTAAATACCCAGAACCAGCTGTAGACCCAGCCAAGGAAGTAAGTTAATCATATTTCTCATTTATTTTGTGTATCCCTCTCACTCCCTGGCTCTCCCCATTCTCTCCTCCGTTCTGCCTGGCTCCCTCTTTTCATCTCAGAAGGGGAGGGATTTCGGACAGGTCATTTACGGAGACTGTCAGGGGGCCGAAATGTTTGCGATTTCCTACTGATTTCTTAGGTGTTTAGAAGTTAATAATATTCAGCACCTCATGATTCTTTCCTAGATGTCAAACAAAGACATGAAAGGCAAGGAACCCAAGAGGAAAGGAGGGGGAAGGAGAGAAAGGGATGGAGCAGCAGGGGCAGTAGGAGAGTAACTTTCTTCTCCCCTGATGCAGTTTTAAAGAAAGCTGCATCTAAGAAAATCTGGCATTAGTCCTAGCACACACACACACACAAATAATAACCACGTAAGCATTGTGAAAACATCCCTCTGTTGCCTTTAATGAATAAAGAATTTCTTTGCTCATCCTCAGCAAGGCCCTGGGCAATAAAAACTGAAGTTCCAAAAGGCAAGGATTCAACCTGTAAAACTACTTTAGATTTACGAGTTTTCCCTTCTGTCCCTATTTAGGGCTTTTAGTTGCCTAATCCATTCAAGTTTTTATTTTATACTTTAATCCCTCTGAAGAAAGTTATGAAAGACAGGACTTGTTAAAAATCACTGAATCCATCCACCTGATAGGATACAAACATCCAGGGAGAAAAGTTACCAGATTTTATTGCAGTATCAGAAATCACATAAGTAATCTGGGCAACTTAGATATAGACTTAATGCAGAGAAAATGCAGTTATATTTATATTAACATATTGCTAACTTTATAATCATTAAAAATGTAATAAAGCTCTGCTGTCACTTGTCCAAATATTTTCATTTGCCTTTGACCACAACAGTTCACTTTTTGAACCAGAAGAGTTCGGATCAAAGAAGTGTACGTCTTCTCAGTGAGCACAGGTTCTGCTGTCTCACAAGATGAAGCTGCCCCCAGCAACTGCGAATCTGCCTCTGATTCAAGCCTGTCTGCCCTGTCTGTACAAATGAACCTCAGAAACCAAGGGAATAAATGTCCTCATTTGTAAACACCTCAGTGAAACATAAAAGCGCAGAAACCACTCAGATACCTGATCTGATCCCACATGGGACTATGAGTCAAAGCAAATCCTCTGCACTGAACTCAGAAAGGCTGAGCCAGCTGCTACAGAGCACCAGAAAGTCCAATATGTCGTGGTTTTAAGCCAAAGTTTCCTATGTTTTACTTCATCCAAGCCAGCTGCCTGTTATTTGAATTGCAATCAGAACTTTTCTGAAAAGCTGATGAATG